CATTTGTGCCTCGGTATGCATGTACATCTAGCAAAGACGGCATCCAGCGTTTACTAACTGCTACTTCACAGCACTAATTTACACACATTTTAAGAATACTTCAATAAACTGCCACTCTTGCTTGTTCAAGAACTTTTAAATGATTTATTCGCTAAGTTTTATAAACCGTGTAAACCGCCTCAATTTCTGTGGGTTATACACAACGTACACTCTATTTTTCAGCCCCGCTGGGCGGGGCTCTATCTTGCACGCACAACTTTGCCCCTGAGTGTGTGCGTGGTGTGCGTGGACGACTCTGTGACCAGAACCAAAGAGGTTGAACATGATCACTACACGGAGGGAGGGAGGAATCATGCACACGCACAGCACAGAGGGAACTTTGGTCATATGCTCTCAAGTTGGCAACCCTAACAGGGCCTTCGAGGCAAGAAGTAACATTACCAGTGCTGCACCCCACCCCTGTAGTGTCCAAGGTAGAGTGGGAATTTGAACCCACGTTTCCTGATCCCTAGCCCAACATTCTACCAACTATGTATGCACCCTGGAGGAATCACGCACACGCACAGCATAGAGGGAACTTTGGTCATATGCTCTCAAGTTGGCAACCCTAACAGGGCCTTCGAGGCAAGAAGTAACATTACCAGTGCTGCACCCCACCCCTGTAGTGTCCAAGGTAGAGTGGGAATTTGAACCCACGTTTCCTGATCCCTAGCCCAACATTCTACCAACTATGTATGCACCCAGTTGTAAAAGCTGATATAAAATGAGTAACTAAACATTTTCCCTATCCCTATTTCCCAGGACAGCTGGGCACAGAAGATGGAACCAATCCACCCTACTTTCCCTTTAATCTTCCTCACAGGGCTGTCCTGAAAATATATTTCAGACCATGCCTCCCCAATGTAATCTACACCACCAACCAGATCTTCCCAGGCAGGCCAGGCTTCCTACTCCAAAGGAGGCCTTATAGGTCATCCACCAAGGGCTGGTCCTTCTTCCCAGGGGCCCTCACCTCAGGCAACCCCTTTCTGGTGGAAAAGCCACTGAAGACCCTACTTTTTCAGGGAAGGCCTCTTCCATGCTGACCCTTCCCTGATTTCTTCCCCCCTCCAAGCCCTGCTGTCTCTTGGTGAGCCTGCCACGGGGGTGGGGGCGCCGCCACGTGGGTTACCTCAGTGGCCCCCAAACCTTGGGGGGCCTCCACATGTTCTCGGACTACAACTCCCAGAAGCCTTCACCACCGCCACCTCTGCTGGCCAGGATTTCTGGGAGTTTGAAGTCCAAGAACCTCTGGAGGCCCCCAAGGTGGTTTTTTTTGGGGGGGGGGACGACCCCTGGGTTACCTGACAGCTGCCCTTAAAAAAAAACCTTGCCAAGCTGTGCATCTTAAAATGTGGAGCTCCGTTCCCAGCTTGGTTTTTTAAATCCACGAGGGGCTGCGCAAAACCGCCCAGGTATAAATAAATAAAAATATAAGAGGCTGTGCTCAAAAGGGGAGAGACTTGGGATCTCACGGACACCCCCACCGCCGGGGGGGGGCAGGTTGGGGGGAAAACAAAAAAAGGTCCCCCCCCCCAGCCCCCCGCCGACCCTGCTCGGAGCCTTACAGCCGCAATAAAAGCCCCGAGACGACGGGGGGGGGGAGAAAGAAGTCCACTTGCCTTGGTTGCCGGCCCCGGCCTGGCTGCCCTCATCCTGCTGCTGCTGCTGGTGGAGGTGAAGATGCTGGGCCTGCTGTTGCTGCTGCTGCTCGTGGCCCAGCGGGGGCGGCGGCTGCTGCTGCTGGGGAGGAGGGGGCGAAGGGAACCGGTACTGGCCGTACTGGGCCTGCTGCTGCTGTTGTTGCTGCTGTTGTTGTTGTTGTTGCTGCTGCTGTTGTTGTTGTTGTTGCTGCTGCTGCTGTGCTGGAGGTGGGGGCTGGGGCGGCTGGGGCTGGGGCGGTGGGGCTGCCGGC